AATGGCGGGCTGGGGGCCAGTCGCCTCTGATCTTCTTGGGAGGTCTCATGCCGCAGTCCACGAGCTGATTCTCATCTCCTACAAGCTGGGGTTTCCCAGCATGGCGGGTGATGGGATTTCACTAATGATGGGGACTTGCCTGAATAGTGAGGCCTGGGGGACCGAGATGGGACGGTCGCCTGTAAAAGAAGGATGCCCACCCCAGGAGATTAAACTGTTCTGTGGGATACAGTGAAGGTAAAACCTGCCCGCAGGCTACAAGGGAAGAGGTAGTAATTAGTCTACTTCAAGAAAAAAAAAATAAAAATCTGGTGGTGTAGGCAGGGGGTTCTCCACTAATTGCCCATCTGTTAGTTTATTAACCTTTCTTCTTGGGTGCAGGGAAACTCCTGTTCCCTCTGTCTTTTCAAAGATTCCTTCCCAAAGGTGACCTCCTGTCTGCAGGCTGTGACCAGCTAGCCAGCAGGTTACTCTTACTTGTTCTTAGATTTCCCATTAGAAATGTCCTTCTCCTACAGTGGAAAATTATAAAATCATTTTAAAAAAACCTCCCAAAATCAACAGAACAACCCCAATCCCTTCTGCCTGACCCTATCTGCCACATCCCATTGCTGGCTACCAGTTTGATGGAGAAAGACTACCATGGGAAATCACGATACATACCTCCTCTCGAGAAAACAATGAAGCTCAGTATCACCAGCAAAATGAGCACTTTAATTCCAAGAGGCACAAAGATCAGGATCAGGAAGAAGGAGCTGCTGGATGCTTTGAATTTATAGAAATACACAGCCCCCTCTGCTCTCCCATGGCTGTTGACAGCAGTGCAGGTGTATTTTCCATCATGGGTCAGGTACCGGAGCTCCTTGGTGACGCGATGGTTCATGCTGGTGATGGAGGTGAGGTTGCTGTAGGGTGGTCCGGTCCAGGTCAGAGTGGGTGCTGGCTCCCCCTCGGCGGTGCAGCGTGCCTGGAAGGTGCGATCTCCGTTGTTGCTGACGGTGATGTTGATGATCCTAGGGGCAGCTGCAGAAATTGCAACAGGGAAGGGAAAGTGCTTTCAGGCTGCAAAGACAGGTCTAATGCAAAACACCTCAAATGAGCTCTTGGTCTTGGTGGACCCTCAGCATGTTACATTAGGGTAAGCTTGGAATCAAACCTCCCCTTCCTCATTTTTCTTGGCATTTTCCTTCCCTGGATTTCCCCACCCTGCCTATGTTGGATAGAGGAGCAAAGGGATTCACCCAGCAAAGCCTGGGTGCAAGGATGTGTACTTTATTTGTGATTTATCCCTGTAATGCCTCACACAGTTTTCCGAGCTTCAGTCAACTTCAGCTGTGGTGACCTTCCATGGTGGCAGAAGGCAGAGGCGCTATGCCGTAGCAGGGCAATCATCTGTGAAGATGGGTTGCTTTCTGTAGTTGCACAGTGAATTGCAGCTCAGTGCCGTCCACGATGCAGGCACAGGTGCCGCTGGTGACCTTTTCAGCCTGACTGCGTCTGCACATGGTCCAGGACAAGGCAATCGCAGTGCTCTCCTGCCAGCATCTTGCGGCTGTTCCTTTGGTCTCTGACCTCCAGACCATGCGTGGATGGACCTGTTTGTGTGAGCCTGTTGCTTGGTGCCTGAAACTTGCTAGATTTGGCAAATTATTGTCAGGGAACATTTATGCTCCTTGCTACAACCTATTTTTGATGTTTTTCTCCAACTCTGTAGTGATCACCCAACAGCTGGTGTAGGTTCCTGGTTGCTTTGGGGGTAGCACACAAATATCAAGATGGGGTCACTATTTTGTGTCCTGTATTTGTAGCATATGGGATTGTGTGACTCAATGAACAGTGGTAAAGATCATTTTGGGGATGCAAAATGTTAAAAGATGTGCTGTTGAGCATGTCATCTTTGGTTTAGTCCACTAAGGAAGCATAGCTGATAGAACCAAGCTTGTCTTACCCATCGATTCTCTCCTCTTGGATCTGTTGACCCATTTAATGCATTTAGTTCCTAAAGACATCATGAAAACAGAAGGGAACTAAATGAGTGTCCTCACAGATGAAAAGCAGGAGTTCAATGCTGATTTCTTTTTTTTTTTTTTTTCAGGCTAGACAACAAATATGTAGCTTGCAACCACTTACAGCGCATCTTCTCCCTTGTCTATGTAATGCAGGAGGAGATTGAGGCTGGAGGACTGATCCGTAAGAAAGCTAGCTGTGTTAGTTGTCATGTGCCTGTGTGTTTTGGTGTTTAAATGAACCTTTTAAGCATTATTTAACCACTCCCATTCATACTGTCAGGGTCCCTTCCCAAAGCCGGGTGCAGCCTTGGTACCATATCTGTGTATGTTATTGTTCTGGTGTTAAAATCCAGGCAGCCCTTGAGAGACAGATGTTGCTGCCATCCTACCCTGGTCATGCTGTGTGTGTGGGTGTTTAGGAGCTGCTCTGAGTGAAGGAGAGCCTTGACTACGCAGAACTTCCCAAGAAGTAACTGAGCTCATCCTTGGGTCCCATCTGGATGCCCACAGTGCATAGCAGGCGTAAGGCAGTTTCACTTCACAAGCAAAATCATCGGACACATGGTACCTTTGCACTCACGGGTAAGGTCTGAGTCTGTTCCTGGAGCCACCTGGGTCTCCAGCACTCCCTTGATCTGTGAGTGCACCCGAGGAGATGGTATTAGCATTTGACATTTGTTGATCCAAGCTGGTTTTTCAGGCTCTTTGCTTCCTGCTCCAGAGAAGTTTGGACCTATGGCATGTGGGTACCAGGTATCTTGTCTTTCCACTCCCCCGTTACCATCCATGCCTTCTTGTGCTTACATCTGCTAACATGTGCTCAGCATCCAGGCTCTCCAGTTTAGATTCTGATGAAGAGG